GTCTCTGAGTCCCCACGCACTCCCATATGCCTCTGAGTGGATTCATACCGCATTCGGACCCATTGTCTTGCCTGCGCCGTTACAATAACCTATATTTAATATTCTTTTAATATATTTAAGTAGTATTATAAGAAATGTATTAGTGTAAAAAGAGTAGTTTAGTGTAGTCTTAGTAAAAGTAAGCAACCTAGGTGTGTAGCTAACTTACCTGTAGTGTACGTTATGTAACGACTCTCGTTCCATCTCGGGTCGCCCGGAACCCATCCGAAGGGTCCCCGTATCGGCTCCGACCCTGGCTCGACCCTGACTCGACCTGGCCCCGACTCTGCCCTGCCCCCTGCTGTTACCCCTATTCCCTCATGTATTTAGTCGCACCTCGCCCCGTAGCTAGCTCGGTAGTTTTCTGATATCCTTTCGTACAAGGCCTATAGGTATCAATGGCATTCCCAGGTTCAGAGTCCCCACGCACTCCCATATGCCTCTGAGTGGATTCCCTCCGCATTCGGACCCATTGTCTTGCCTGCGCCGTTACACGTTAGTTGCTACAGCTTTGTTGCTTTTACTTCGCAACTAAAATCTTTCTGTATAATGTAACGAGGTCGGCACGGTCAACCACGTGGCCTTCTCTCGCTCATAGAGGTTTAGGCTAGGCTAGAGACAACCGCTAGTGCTAGTGCTTACCCTAGCATTACCTATATATTATACTATGCGAGAATACTTAGCTTAATTATTCTCGTGCGTACCTTTTGGTACAGTGGGGAAAGTCGTATAGTATCGGCTTGGCAGGCGGGGCGCCTACCTCATTACATATAAAGGGCTAGGTTTTGAGCAATTTAGTGCTGTTTACAGACTTTCTGTGGGTAACTGTAGAGTGCGCAGACTGTTCCCTAGTACATCTGTAGCTAGCTAGTTTTGATAGCGAAGGCAGGTTTGCATTCTCCTAACACTTGTATTGCATAGTTAGAAGTGAGGCCTCCCTAGAAAGCCCCTCAACAATCATAGCCTCCATTATAACTCAGATCATCCATAGAGAGCAGAATATTCATTCCCCATCCCTGTTGCTAAGAGAAAATAGAACATTATCCAGATCAAGTTACTCAACAATAATATCTAGTGGCAGAAGCGTACATTCCTAAACAATTTTTTTTGTAGCTTTCATGTTCTATGCCACCAAAAAGCAGATAGTCCTCACAAACCATTCCGAACACATTTGCAGCAGCGTCAACTTTTAGACGCACGGAAAACAGCTGAAGCTGACCATCGAAGAAATGGTTCCATACCATATGCACTGCCCATACCCTCTCTTCCAAATAAACATTTCGTAAGAGGGCTGGTTCGCTAGGCGTGGAGAGCGCATCTAGTGGATCCTATCTAATCTCGCACGATTCATGGCAATCTGGTCATCGACTTTGTCTGTCTTGCCAATAATGCGGTCAATATGCTTGTTTTGGGTGTCAACCTCCTCTCCCATGGCACGACCAAGTAAATTGAGTCTTTTGGCAGCTCCATGAAGTGCATCCAACTTAAGGGTACGTTAGCATATGTCTGTGACAATAACAAACCACGCAAGGGTAAGAGGGTAAGAGGTATAGGGGCAAGCGACAGCAGCGACTCACATTGGAGTCGATCTCATTTTCCATCTACACTCATGTTAGCATGCGTAGACTAAATTGCAGAATTGGTTAGATATTACCTCATCATCTTCTGAATCAGCCTCAAATTGGTACTTGGCTCGATCAGCGAGCGTGGACTTTTGGCCTGGGCCTCCCGCACTCTTTACACCCTGTTGGAAGGCCTGTTGCCGGGATTGGGATTCCCAAGCTTGCTTTCGAGTAGCATCTCGCTGTTCGCGTTCTTGCCTGTGGGTTTCCATGATCTGGGAAGTTGTGTTAGTAAAAGTAATACAAATCCACTACTTGACATACCTGTTGGTCCCGAGCTTCACGGCGGGAGGTAGACGTGAAAGGGTTCCCCTGCAATTTGTAAGGCCTTGATTTTTATCACGACGGGTCCAGCTTAGAGCCGGAAACAACTTACTACATGTACTGCGAACATGCTTTTGTTGAGAGTTTTGAGCTCCCTAGCCTTTTCTTCAGCGATTCTGTTCTGACTAGAAGCCAGATCCAAATTTCTCTCTGTATTATGAATACGTTCGCCCTGTGCACCCAACCTGGCAAGTGTATCCCGTCCTGTTTCCTCGGCTTGCTGGGCTAACCGCAGAGCGTTTCTCGTAGATGACACATCCTGCTGCTTGAGAAAACGAATCTCCTGTTTAGTAGCGTTGACATCTTCCTCCTCCTGCTCCTCGGCTGGGGAAGTGTTAGAAGCTGCTCATAGTCTTCCAAGGATACCATACCTGTCAACTGTCGATCAGCATACGATCCATAGCCGCCCTGATCCCCCCCAGGGGCCCCATACGCACCGCGGGCACCAGAGCCATATGCTCCGCTCTGCCCATATGCACCGCTTTGTGGTTGGCGCTGCTGGACTCGCTGAGGGGCATTTCCGAAGAGCTCGTTGCGGCCAGCATCTATAGACACGGTGTCATTTGAGTCTGAACGGCCGAGACCTTGACGGACAAATTAGTCAGAATGCTTGATTCCCGCAGCAAAAAATTCCAAAGAAGACACAAACCGCCATAGCCCCCAGGTCTTCTCGGACCTTGATCTGCACCGCCAAACCTATCTGCTCCATACCCGCCTCCAGCTCCATAACTGCCTCCTCCAGCGCCGTAACCCCCAGCACCGACGCGACTGCCACCATAAGGCTGTCCCGGGCCCGTCACCGAAGCACTCTTATTATCTCTCGCATCAAATCCATCATTTCCACTTTGATATGGCGGTGGGGGAGGATTTGAGGCCCGGCTCATGTAGGGATCGCCGCCTGTGGGAGGAACAGAGTAAGGGTTTGAGGCTGGCGGCGCTTTATCCTTCTTGGAGCGACTGCCGAAGAGCGCGGAGCGGGCAGCGGAGTCATCGTCCTCTTTCTTCTTGAGGAAACCCATGGTTGATGCGTATCGTGTATCTGCAAGGCGTGAGCAGGGGTATCACGAGCAATGGATGAGTTGTAGTTGGGCACGTACTCTTTCGATCGATTGGATGACGGTTTAGGTCCTTTGTAAAGTGCAAAGCAAATCGCTAGGAGAGGTAGTAAGTGACCAGAGTGAATGTGAGGCTACGGAGCTATTATAGGGTTGGAAAGTGTTTGAGAATAAAAGCGTACGGACGCTGGAGGTTTCAAGCGCCAACGAGCTGCATGGTCGTGGAAGGTGTGGCTGAGTTTGCGCCACATCTTGGCACCCATAAATAACCCAGAGGCGGTGAGCGGCAAAAGCATTGATATTTCCATGAAGCAATGAATTGATTTCGTCAATATTCTTATCGTACACAACTATCACTCTATTCGAGGTGCTGGCTCTGTTTGTAAGGGATTACAAGCACAATGCGTGAATTCACTTTTCACATCCATCGTGAGCTTGTCAGACGATGGTGACGAATCACGATGAAGTAAGTGTTCGACATCGGAGTGAATCAGCCGTTGTAACAAAGTGCTGTGGATTTTATTTTGGGTATCCCAGTTATTCCACATAAGTGGATGCTAAGGCTACAAATGATGCTGTCGGATCTTAGGCAATAGTTCCCCCTGAGGCCTGCAGACTACTGAGAGCCTTCTTTGTCCAGACCGTACCATTCTCTTCAGGGCCAAGCTCTTCGTCAGAAGGCAGGGCATCATGCTCTTCCTTCGTCCAAATCTCAGTGCCCTCCACTACAGGGAACGATGTAAGCACTCTGCTAATATCTCCCCACCATACCTCCCCAAACCGCTGATACCAGTCGACAGTTGCTTTTAGTCCTTCTTCGAAACTAGTTTTCGGTCGCCATCCGAGAGCCGCTAGCTTTGCTCCGTTAGTAGCGTATCGCTGGTCATTGAACGGTCTGTCTTCTGTGTGTTGTACCCATCTCTGGAATTCTTGGGGTGTTTTGTGGCGCGCTCCAAAAATCTCCAATAATCGATGGCATATATCCGTATTTGAGATTTCATCCTTTGATGCGATGTTGTAGATCTGGCCAATGGCTCCTTTGTGTAAAATGGTGTCCAGAGCATCAACAATATCGCTCGCATACACGTAACGACGTGTCGGCGATCCGTCTCCGTGAACTAGTAACTTGCTTCGTCGCTGAAGTAGCATGATGAATTTCGGTATGATCTCTGCGAAGAATTAGCGGCTGCACTACCCGCCAGCCATTCGCAACATACTCTCGGGGAATTGGTGGGGACCATAAACGTTGTTGCTCCTCACAGTGATAAGCGGCAACTTGAAACTACTCCGATATGCGCTGACCATCATCTCCGCCGCAGCCTTACTTGCCGAATACGGATTTGTTGGGGCGAGTAAACTAGTCTCGCTCAAGTCCGCTGCCCCAATTGGTACATCGCCATACACCTCGTCAGTCGAAATGTGTATGAATCTAGTGACACCATGTTCCCTCGCTCTCTCTAATAGAACATGTGTTCCGTATACGTTGGTGTTGGTGAATTGATAGGAGTTGCCGAAGCTGAGATCAACATGTGATTGGGCAGCGAAATGGAAGATGGTGTCGATCTTGTGCTTGCGCAAGCACTTCTTCACGTCCGACGGCGAAGTTATATCTCCTTGCTCGAAGGTAAAGTTCGGGAATTCGTCGAGTATTCGTGTGTTATTAAGAGTGGCGCAATAATCTAGCTTATCGAAAGAGATGACGTTGTAGTTGTCTGGATAAGTGAGCGTCAAATGGCGGACGAACCAGCACGCTCTAAGCTAGTAGGTCAGTGTGGGGAAGCCACTAAGCGTTTCCACCATTAGGTTTCAAGGACGTACATGAATCCTGCCCCGCCCGTAACCAGAATATTCCTCACGTTCGGGAGCGGTTCGAATTTCGTGCTGCCTTTCAGAACAGGCGCCTGCTTCCATAAGTCTGCGGTTACATAAGATCTCGGATTGAGAATCGTCGAATTCCTCCTGCCTATCTTAACAATTCAGCGAGGTACTGTCGAAGGGTTGGTGACTGGTTCGCGAACGTTTAACATGACGGTCTCCATTGAGGAGAGATTCCGGGCTCTCAACGGGGGACATCTCAGTAGATACCACCGAAGGAGAGATTTCATGAAGGCGGTGAGAAAAGGAAGTGTCGTGCGCATCTCATGGTAGCCTGCCCGCGCAATTTATTACGATGTTGCAAGTGAAGTGAATTGATGAAGATCGGCGCTAAGGGTTAGAAGAGTATCCCTTCCACTGGACACGTGGGCCAAGACAATTAAGAAAGACGAATTGGAAGGCAAGTTTAACCGATCATCCACCTTCGCTTTCGGGGTGCTCGCCGTCCGTCGGTGTGAAGTCGTCATTCACAAGATTTCATCAGCTGACGCACAGTTTTGCCTGGCACGCACACACTAGATTATGTCCATTTCTAACATTAAAGCAACCCTACTAACATAAACTATAATAAGAACACGCTTATAGATTTAAAACAGTAAAATTTAAAAAATAAATATTACTATAATAGCTAAAAAAACAATAGTGTTAAAAATAAACTCTAAAATTAATAGTTACAGAGATATTAGAAGTAGAGGATAAAAAATTAGAGTTTTTTTAATAACGTACTTCATGGGCGAGTTGCTCACACACCCGAGTCGCTTACTTTTGCCAAGACCCCACTAAACCACCCTTCCTACACTAATGCATTCCCCACAACACTACTTAGACGCGCTAAAAAAATGTTAGATACAGCTTACGCTTTAAGCTTTTAAATAAAACATAAAACTCTTAAAGAAATGTGCTATAGCTATGTGTAAAGTCTTATAAAAAATAATAAATAACTATAGCACTAGACAACCTTTACAAGCTAATTCTACAGCTAAATTATAAAGGCTAGGCAATAAAAAGAAGCAGGTAATTGTTAAGACTATACTTAAGCTATATGCGTAAAGAATTTCCCCTTAGATAGCATTTATAGCTAATATAGCTAATTCTTTGCGCGCTAAGCGTAATCTAGGCTATGTTTGCATAAACTAGCCTAGTATGTTTATAAAGCGTTATTTAGAGCTTAAAGTAACATTTAAGCGTAAGTATAACTATAAGAGAGCCCTCTATAAGAGTCCTAAGGTAATTTAGGGCAGGTTTAGCCTTGTAGAGAATATTAAAGCTAAGTATAGCATCTAAGATAATAACATGTACAACTTTAGTAAGACAGGGTTTATAATTAGCTAGATATCTCTTAACTATACTTACGCTTAAAACTTTACTTTAAGCTCTAAATAACGCTTTATAAATGTACTAGGCTAGTTTATGCAAACATAGCCTAGATTACGCTTAGCGCGCAAAGAATTAGCTATATTAGCTATAAATGCTATCTAAGGGGAAATTCCTTGCGCATATAGCTTAAGTATAGTCTTAACAATTACCTGCTTCTTTTTATTACCTAGCCTTTATAATTTAGCTGTAGAATTAGCTTATAAAGGTTGTCTAGCGCTATAGTTATTTATTATCTTTTATAGGACTTTGCACATAGCTACAGCACATTTCTTTAAAAGTTTTATGTTTTATTTAAAAGCTTAGAGCGTAAGCTGTATCTAACATTCTTTTAGCGCGTCTAAGTAGTGTTGTGGGGAATGCATTAGTGTAGGAAGGGTGGTTTAGTAGGGTCTTAGCAAAAGTGAGCAACTCAGGTGTGTGAGCAACTCGCCCATGAAGTACGTTATCTCTTTTATTTATATAAGCTAAAGCCTAGATATCTTAGAATAATAAAGTTTATTGTTACGACCACTGGGAAAGAGAGAGGGTAGAGAAGGAGGAGAGAGAGGGGAGGAGGAAGAGTCACGTGATACTTATCTGACAACCTACTTTTTCTGGTAAAGACCAAGCGCTCCTTTATTTCGATTGACGACTTCATATTTCCTCCGTTACTACCCTCTCCTTACTCCTTATCCTGAACTTTCCTCCAGCCCTTTCCTAATTCATCGATCACGTGCCATTGCACAATTGGATCGCTGCCTCTCCCCCAGGATCCAGCCGCCCCACTCAGCACGCTTCCATGCTTCCATTTTCCGGTTTCTGCCCACCATGCACCCGCGACAACCCGCAATCTCCAGAAACTTCAGGCTCCAGGAGTGCGAATCGCCGCATAACATGAACTTCAGGCAGGGTAAATTCTAACTCTTGTAGTTCCGAACTGAGAAGCGGGGCCGACTGATGAAGGGGAAAGCACGATTTGAAACGATGTCGCAGAATTGAGATGAACGCGTGGAGGGTCCACTTGCTGTGTAGGCCGGCCGGAAGGATGGGTGGGTCTGGTCGTTCGAGCCTCAGGCATAACTAGGATCTTGAGTTTGAGCCTGAGGCAGGTAGATTTAGGAGAGGGTCTGGGATTTGGTGAAGGTTGAGAGGAGAGAGATAACCACTGGCATGCAGTGCGAGACTTGATGGTTGCTGGAGGGAAACGTTATGGAAATTTGAATTGACGGAAAAAGCATCATGTTAATCGGAGTTTCAGATCTTGCTGTATTATGGTGCCTATATATAAGTACCGTTTTGCGTAGCCATCCCCACTCTCTCTCTGCTGGTCTTTGCATCGTGCCTGTATGCACTTTACCTTCCCCTCGATACTCCTTCGAGAACAAACGCCAAACCATATATCGTCAGGCTAGCAAAGAAGAAGAAGTAGTGTACGTAAGCGCTTTAGAAACTTCAAGGTAAACCGCCACGCCACGCTATGCAAATCCCTCTTTCCAGAACAGGCTTTTTAGAATGTATTAGGGCGTACGTATTTGGTACAAAAACAAATTCTCATCTGGGGCACTAAACGAATCCAAGAATGGGCATCACTAATGCCTCTTGATCTATCCCACGCAAAATAAGGGGTATCTTCGTTCCTTGCGACTTCATCTAACATCGGTTTCTCGGGGAGAACAAAGGGATCTAATATCGCAGCTGGGACACTGTGGAATGCATCTGCCATCTCTCATTAAGACCAATGTCGACGAGATCTTCCACCCAAGAGGCCGTGCCTCCAGTAACGGTCCGCTTCTGTAGTGGCTCCGCTGCCACCTTGCCATCGACGCCATTGCTCAGCAGCAATTTCACGTCTCCTGGAAGCGCGTTTCCGGATATCTTTCCCTGGCGAGCGGTAGCAAGCAGCTTCTTCTTTAGAGCAGGCGGATCCTGGCCAAGAGAGGGGTCTTGAGCCATCAGGTATGCCATGACGCCCGAAACGTGCGGGCAGGCCATTGAAGTGCCAGAGAGGGTGTTGATGATGTTGTCGCCGGTTCTCCAGGCAGACACGATCTCTTCACCTGGCGCATAGATGTCTACGCAAGATCCTGTGTTTGAGAACGTGCTAATTTGGTTGTTAATGTTGACGGATCCGACAGATACAACGGCGGAATTAGCACCGCCGTTATGGGAAGGTGTTGAGGTACACGCATCCTTGCCATCGTTGCCAGCTGCAACAGAAACGTGAATACCTGCTTCCACGGCACCTACAACGACTTGGTCAACGACGCTTGAGATGCCGCCAAGACCCCATGACATGCTCATGACAGACCCAACGAAGCCAGGTTGCGTCTTGCGTTTATTGTGCATGTTTATAACCCAATTCATGCCGGCAATAGTGTCGGATGAAGAGCCAGAGCCAGTATCGCCGAGGACCTTGACAGCGTAGATATTGGCGCCGGAGCCTACGCCATAATAGAGTCCAGCTGCCGTACCAGCAACGTGTGTGCCATGGCCATCACCATCGGTAGATGGTTTCTGGAATGAGAAGCCCTGCGTAACGCGGCTGGTCGCGTTGGGCTGTTTGAAGACCTTGAACATTTCATGGGTAATGAGGACACCAGTGTCAACGATGTAGATATCAACACCTTGGGCGAGTTGATTTTCGGTGGCCGGGTCGAACGTATATGTGTAGCCAAAAGTTTGTGCGTTACCAAGACGATCCTCTTTAGCACCGGCATCGTTAGAGAGGCGTTGCAAACCCCAAGTCGTGTTAGATCGAATAGTAAAGGACCGAATATCTGCCTTCTCTTCAATGTGAGCGACTTCAGTCATGGCATTCAAGGCGTCTAAACAATGATCTTGCATCTTGGCGACGAAGCCCTGGAATACAGAATTGTTGAATGTGTACACAACGTCATCATCGTCTTCGTTAAGCTGGAGGCGGCTGAGGATTTCCTTGGCCTGAGGGGGCACTGTTTCGTTCTTGTTGAAAAGCACGACGTACTCTTTGCCGCCAGTCTTGTGGGCACTGGGTTGGCTGTTGGAGATAAAGCCTTCACCCTTGGCGGCCGGGGCGGCAATAACCGTGGACCATGATGCCAAAACGGCGGCGAAGGCAATAGTGGTCCTCATAGTGGATTAGATGGAAGAAGGTAGGATAATGAGGAGAAAAGATCCGGCTCCTCAGGAGGTCAGAGAGAAAATACAAGGGAGGGTCTGGCCGTCTTGTAGGTCACGAGAGAAGGAAGATCATATAGCGCTATGGGTCGTCAGTCCGTTTTTCAGTGCAACGTTTGCTTAGTATAGGTTGTGGAGCCAAAGGGAAAGCTTTTAGAGCGTTGGGTAGAGGAGAAACATTCGCTTTTAAGAAAGTGAGAATGATGGAAAGAAAGGGAACAAATGAACATAATTCAGTGTGAGAAGCAATTGTGGAGTGCTGATCAAAATCTTTTTCGCTGAAGTATATTGGGCACACAATGCGTGCTAATGAACAATAGTAGAGTCTCAGACTCACATCAACGCGGAAGCAATGAAGTTCAACCGGACACTTGTATCGGGCGTCGAAATACTGTGCGTCAAAGGCCAAGACGTGCCAGCACGGCGGAATAGGATGAGGAATAAAGATGCGGTGGCCGGTTGAATCGAGGCCCTTAGGGAGAGAAAGGGGTCAGTGAAAAGAAGAGGCTCAGTGAATGAGCGAATGTTTAACCAAGGGCAAGCTTTGTAAATGAATGTCAGAAGGAAGGAAGGAAGGAAGGAAGGGTAGGGTTCAGCAGGCAGGAAGTGAGGAAGGGTATAGTCGCCGTGACGGATGCTCGCCTTGGCCGGGAGGGAGTGGCTCATGTACGAGAGTACGCAAAGACGAAGCCATAACCACCAAGCTCAGCGAAGAGTCGTCCGCATTTGAAACGGCTTGGCAGCACTGCAAGCCTCCCGCAGAGAGCCATTCCTCATTCACTCGCCGAGTCCGCGCTCCTAGCGCAGGCCTGCTTCAGGCTGCACAAAGCGCAATCGGCACATCAGCTAAGCCGCACGATCAGGGATTTACAGGAGGTGGATAAGAGCTCGGCATGGCGCTGATGAGTACTTCCGGTTTGATGGAGGTGAGGAAAAAGAACATTATTTGCGTGCACACGCTGGCAATTCACTGGCGGGGATCGGTTGGCGGAAATGCAGTGGACAGGAGAGCCGCATGGCGTGCCTCGGGCTCCTGAGTGGGCGGCGCTGACTGGCTGGGCCTATCTGAAACGGCCAGGGCCTGCGACAGCAACCGCAACTCCCCCAGTCGCGGCATAACATAGCACTCAACTGGAGTCAGCACGTTCGCCCAGGGGTAACTCAAAATGTTGACTGCGCCATTCAAAATCATGCGTGACGCCAAACAGAAACAGCGTCCATTCACCCACTCATTTCATTCGCTACACGACACGTTTTGTTCTCGCTCATTCCCTCGTTTCCTCAAATCTGGAAACCAAACAATGTCGATAAACGGCGCCATGTCACGACGGAGCGAACATCTCAAGTGCGCTAAATATACTGGTTCCGTTTCGGACCTTAAATTAAGGGACACCGCAGAGATTAATTGCCTCTCCTCTCTGAGCTCTCACGGAGATCCTAGAGAGGATAACATGCTGTAGCTAGTAAAGACCCAGTTGGCGCCTCTAAGCGAGCTCACCCCCATCCACGGACCTGACCGGTGGGCTCGTGAATCGGAGATGTCTTTGAACGCATAAGACAGGAGCGTGTCCCGAAGAGTCCATTCGAGGTCCTCCCCAAATTACCTGAAAGGTGAATTGGGGAGATCACATCCCCGCTCCTTCAGAGCCTTCCATATCAATCCTTGACATTTAAGCCTTTCGTATCCATTCGTAATGACACAAGCACAATTACATGCAACGAAGACCAACAGCAATGGAGGACAAATATGCGAGTGCATAAAGAAGCATAGACACTGATCCATTTAAACTGTATTTCTAACATTAGGACTCAAGTAGAAACATCGCAATCAGAATCAGACATCCAACGTCTTGTAAGGCCGAGATGGCGCTTACGTGCGACAGGTATATATACTATTCTGCACGCAATAATTAACTGTTGGTTAATTATTTACACCTTTTTAGTTGTATTAGCGCAGTGGTACAGAGCTCTGTCCTTACACGTCTCTAGTAAGACATATAGAAAGGACTGTTGTATAATCTCTACCTTAGTTAGCTTAGCTAGTTTTTAGACTAAAACATAAGGCAGCCTTTTCTAGTGCCACATTGTTGCTGCTAGAAGGTCTAGTGTATATAGCTTAGCTAGCGTAGGCTACTAAGCGTTGTTATCTATCCTGCGCCTCTAGGCTGCAGGTGGTTAGCCTCTGGCCAGTAACTAAGTCATGCGCATGGCGCCTCTAAGCTGCGGGTAGGTCATGTGACGCCTGGGACATGCGTCTGCTAAGAAGGGGGATAATGTAAGGCTAAGATGGCGCTTACGTGCGACAGGTATATATACTATTCTATGCGCAATAATTGACTAAATTTAAAGTTAAACTAACATACACTATAAGTAAGTTACTTACACACCTAAGTTACTTACTTTTACTAAGACTCTACTAAACTACTCTTTTTACACTAATATATTTCTAATAATACTACTTAAATGTGCTAAAAAAATGTTAGGTATAGCTTATACTTTTAGCTTTTAAATAAAATGTAACACTTTTAAAGTAATATACTACAGCTATATATACAGTTTTTAAAAAATAATAAATAATAAACACACTAAATAACTTTTATAAGCTAATTTTATAGCTAACTTATAAAGGCTAGATAATAATAAAAAGCAGATAATTATTAAGCATATACTTAAGCTGTATATGTAAGGATTTTCTTCTTAGCTAGAAACTATAGCTAATATAGCTAATTCTTTACACGCTAAGCATAATCTAGGCTATATTAGCATAAAGTAGCCTAGTGTGCTTATAAAGTGTTATTTAAAGCTTAAAGTAAAGTTTAAGCATAAGTATAACTATAAAAAAGCTTTTTATAAGAATTTTTAAGTAATTTAAGTCTAGTTTAGCCTTATAGAGAATATAAAAGCTAAGTATAGCATCTAAGATAACAATATATATAACTTTAATAAAATAGGCTTTATAATAGGTGTTACAATTAGCATGCTTAAGCTACAAGTAAGAGGTAGTGTAACCTAACTAGATTAAACTAAGGAGTAGAGAAGCTACTCTACAAGTTTAAGATATACATGTGTGCCCCCTGTTAAGGCGCTACTTGTTACGTAAGCAAGGGAGCTAAAGCTGTAGAGCATGTGACGCAGTACACGCTGTTACAATAGACTAGATATTTACTAACTACACTTATATTTAAAACTTTACTTTAAGCTTTAAATAACACTTTATAAACATACTAGGCTAGTTTATGCTAATATAACTTAAATTATTCTTAGCGTGGAAAGAATTAGCTATATTAGCTATAGTTACTAGCTAAGAGGGAAATCCTTATATATATAGCTTAAGTATATGCTTAATAATTATCTGCTTTTTATTATTATCTAGCCTTTATAAGTTAGCTATAGAATTAGCTTATAAAGGTTATTTAGTATGTTAGTTATTAATTTTTTTTAAAAAACTTTATATATAGCTATAGTATATTACTTTAAAAGTGTTACATTTTATTTAAAAGCTTAAAGTAAAAGCTATATTTAATATTTTTTTTAGCATATTAAAGTAGTGTTATTAGAAATGCATTAGTGTAGAAAAGGTAGTTTAGTAGAGTTTTAGTAAAAGTAAGTACCTTAGGTGTGTAAGCAACTTGCTTGTAAAGTACGTTAGTAGATTATAAAGCTTTGCATTTTCAAGTAATAAAAATATATTCCTACTTACAAGCAAATAGTAGATATTCTTACAGAGAAATAGGTAAAAATTGCACTAGCTAATTATAGAAAATGTATTCTAAGCTAGTTAAAGCGTATAAAGAAAGTTATCTAAAACAAAGGTGTAACGGCGCAGGCAAGACAATGGGTCCGAATGCGGTATGAATCCACTCAGAGGCATATGGGAGTGCGTGGGGACTCAGAGACCTGGGAATACCAATGACACCTATAGGCCTTGTACGTAGGATATCAGAAAACTACCGAGCTAGCTACGGGGCGAGGTGCGACTAAATACATGAGGGAATAGGGGTAACAGCAGGGGGCAGGGCAGAGTCGGGGCCAGGTCGAGTCAGGGTCGAGCCAGGGTCGGAGCCGATACGGGGACCCTTCGGATGGGTTCCGGGCGACCCGAGATAGAACGAGAATCGTTACAAAAGGTAAGTTAACTTACTATTACTTAACTATAACACTAGAGGATAGAACTTAATATAAGCTTTTTATAGAAACAAAAATCTTTTAATTTAGGTAGCAATTAGCTAAGTAACCTCTTTTTTAAATAAGCTAGCTATACCTCTACAGAGCTTAGATTGTTGAGTGGCTAATGACTTTTAGTAGGCGACTGTACATAGACTAGCGTGGATTCGAAGATGGGTTCTTCTAGAGCTAGCTAGCTATTTAATGTAAGGCCGGATGTTCTAGAACGGGCTAGTATAGCCTCACTCGACCTGTTTAGAGGTCACATGACCCGTGATTCGTATATAGGCATGAATCCTAACAAGCGAGGCTTGGCAGCGATTCGTCTCTCTTACAATACACTCCTATCTTTCTCCGAAACCTTGCTCTCAGTGCTATCTGTGCTATCTACTATCCTATCTTTATATTTAAGACCGCGCTGGCCTCTAACTACCTCCTCACCTTAGTATTCTATGTGTAATACAGCCAACCTATTCTATTACCTAGCATTATGCAACAATAGTGAAGAACGCGCTAGTCATCACATAGCAGCCTAGAACACTACATACTATAGTAAAGTTAGCTTCTTAGAATAACTTTATTAAGACTTAGTTAGTAAGTTAGTAGAATAGCCTACTTAGCTTTATTAATAAAGGACTTAACTAACTTATAAAAACCGCTAAAATTATAATACATTTAGTATCACTTTTTTCAAAATGCTTATATACAGCCTGCCTGGATCTTATGTCAACCCTATGCTCCGTCCGTTACGCCACACAGCGATCCAATGGAGCATCCTTCGCCAAGATCTCCAACTGCTTGGTTGCTTTGCGCATCCCTCAATCTCGATTCTAGCCGCCTGACGTCTCGAGATCGCGACTAGAAACAATCCTTCATTATCTTCTTTCTGATTCCACCCGCCAATAGCCTTGCAGGGATACGACAACACGCAGCTGGCAAGCTGGCAGATTTGTTTGGATATACGCGGGATTTGGACTTGCTCGAACGATGACGTTAATACCCTACAATGATTTCACTTTTGGACAGTCAGTATTTATATCATATCGTTCTAGATCACAGTAAAACAAACGTACTCTCGATCTCAACTGGTATTCCCGTACAGGCACATGTATAAACAGAAACTCATACAAAGAACTTTCAACCTATCTCCTACTATCACAATCTATATAGATCCATCCAAGAAAGGAGAGAGCGCTACCTCTTGACATCAGCGAATTCAATTTGTCTTGTCTAGAAGTCTGTCAGTAGTAGGCCTATCTCTTTCTCCTTGGGTTCTGTTACCTTTTACCAGTACTCGCGAAAATGCATCTCATTGTAAAAAAAAAAAAAAAAAAAAAAAAAAAAATCTAGACTACTTTGTAGACCCAAACTAGTGAACGAATACCAACCCCTTGTGCCTAGCGCTCAAAATTACACGATACTCCACTACACATCCTCGTCGCTATCCTCCCCCAAAAGCTCCCCTTCATCAGGATCCACAACTGCATAGTCCCCTCTCCCTCTCGCAAATGAACTCCTACTTGTATATGTTCGTCCACCATATCCTCCGAATCTTGAACTCACCATCTTCCACAGACTCCCGATCAACAACGGCACCGCCGCCACTACAGCCACGAGCCCCGAGATCGCCGCCACCGGCCAGCTAACCCAAGGACTTTCGCTATCAAGCGATGGGACGTTATCGCCTAATCTAATGCGACCAAACTTCCCATCCCAGTTGCGCCAAATGTAGTACCCGATGCCACCAGCCGTGATGAAGGGAATGACGATAGCCATGGAAAGTCCGAAGCCGGTGATACCATGTTTCTTTTGGAATTCGTCTTCGTAGCCAGGACATGGGTGGTTTCTGGATGTGTGTTCCATTTCTTTGCCGCCCACGCACGTTGAAATGGGGATCTTGCGGTAGCCAGTGATTTCCCAGTATTCTTTAACGCCTTTATTTTTGCAGACTGCTTGCGCATCGGGGAGTTCCAGTCCTTCGATGCGTTTGCATTCTCCGCCAGGGAGGCGTTCGAAATTGAAGTCGCTGTGCTAGAGTTAGTTTGCGAACGCGCTATGGTTGCAACAGCTGCTGGAAGTGACTTACCACTCGAAATCGCGTCGAGTGCAGGAACAGTTCTCCTTGATTTCGTGCAAATGATCAATCTTCATTCCGTTGAAGCATTTTGAATCACGTTTCTTGCGGTGATACTCAGCAACGTGCCCAAACAGACATTGCTGTTGGTCATCTAGAATTGGGTGCTGTGGGGTCCAAAGCTCGTAATCACCGGCCGTGGGGTTCTCCTCGTCTAATTTGCACTGTTCTTTGAATTCCTTAAGATCAGAGAAGTCCACATTGATGGTGACTAGCTCTTTTCCATCTTTACCCCAGATGAGAAAGTTGAGAGACGTATCGCTCGGAACCGTGGTGATGGCGTCAACCCGAATACGTCTATCGGCGAAATCGAATCTTTTCCACTCACCAAGGTCAACGGAGTAAAAGAGATGGTTTGTGTCTTCCCCTCTTCGGACAAGGACAATGACTGAGCCTTGGTCGCCGAATTCCCACACATACGTTCCCTTTTTTGCCTCTTTCCATGTAATGCCTGCGTCTGTGGTAATGAAGGTGGATGCCTCGCCGATTGTATCAAGATGTTCGCCAACATTCCCAACTCCCATCATTATCCCCACGGCGGTCGGAGATGAGAAAGTTTCCCTCGGGTCGCCGCGCTCAGTATAGCCATGGAGATGCAAAGAGCACTTCTTCGTCTCCGTAACGTCGCAACTGTACTCATTGTTCAAGGAGTCTATTTCAGGGGCTTTGAGTGAGATCCAGTCTGCGCCGTCGTTGTGAGTGATCACAGTCTTCTTCTTCTTCTTGGCTCCACCATCCACCTCCTCCTGGTTTGCCACAACATTGGCCAGAGCCACACCCTCAATGCCCTGCATCTTCTCAAAGTCGACATAACCTTTAGTGTTCCTATTGACTGCGTTAAGACTAAGCACGTATGACGTTCCATTGCTGTTACTCTTGATGATAGAGCCGTACTCTTGGTCTCGGCGAGGATTGACGGTAACGTGAAGGAATATCGAATGGGTTGAACTATCCAAAACCGTATACGCAGTTTGATGATCGACATTGAACTTTGGCGGAAATTTTGCATCGGCAAAGGTGGAGCCATCCAAGCTGGCGTCAACCTTCAACGACTTGCCATCTTCACCTCCCTTAGTTGCAACTATAATGAATTCGGACATCGTTGCGAACTCTACCACAGACTTGAACTTGACTTCCTTGGTCTTGAACCAGTCATCACTTGAGAGGAGTTCAAGTGGTGCACCCATCTCTTCCTTGGTATGTTGCTCGCAGAAGATCAGCTCCTGCTTTTCTGCACGTCCTTCCTCCCTCCAAACGAAAGCACATTTCTTGACAAAGGGCATAAGATTTTCCCAATCCAGGCCATTTTTGCGAGAAACAGACGCGAGGGTATGGCATTCCGGGTCGTTAACTTTCTTGCAATGTTCACCCCCGATCCAGATTATCCAATCAGATTCGTGGGGGTGAAATTGCATGATCTGAAGGGTCTCAGTGTTGGGCATGGTCGGCGCGTTGAATGAATGAATGCTGTCCCTCATGCCACGGTCAACTGAATACCAAACTTTCTTGGAACCAGTGAGAAAATACACTCGGTCGTTGTTATACTGGTGAGGGTAGATCGCTACAACGTCATCCTTAACTGCTTTGGTCCATTCCTTGCCGTGGTTGTGCGTAATCCATGCTTCACGCTGGTCCGTGAGCATGACTACGGTCTCGTCATGATCCTGGCTCCGGGTACCGCGCTCGAGATAATAATATTCAAGGAATTTGGAGCCTTTGAAGCTCGTGAATTTGGTAGTGATCTTATTGCTTTGCGGTTTCTTCTTCCACTCGTCGCAATCCCGTTCGATATCATCGAGTTTATCAGTCTTGCCGCCTTTGCATTGGTTTCCTGGAATCTTCCTCCAACCAGAAGGCCCCTTATAGGTCTTTGCGTCGCCTTCGCACGCTCCTTTGGGGAGAGTCAACGCTCCGGAGGGTGTGCACTCTTTATCGTTACCCGTGCCGCTTGGTGTAAAATTGAAGTCGCATTCAAAATCTTTGACTGCGTCGCATTCGCAGGGCTCGGGAACTGGAACGGGATCCTTGAACTCTTCATTGATGAAACACTCGGCATCCCGTTTCCGTCGACGGAAGACTTGCTTCTGGCCCATAATGCATTCCCCATTGCGGGCTTCCCATGGCTCGAAGTCGCTGTCCTTGCATTCACTCTCGTGAAGCTCTGCAAAGTCCAGATGAACTATAACATATTCTCTGCCTCCGCCCTTCTTGCTCCTCGTGCCGTAGAGGACAAATTTGAGACTGGTTGAATCTGGGACAGTAGTGAGCTCACGAGCCCGAAATTTAAAATTGAGTTTGATCGGTTTCCACGACTTCGGTTGACCGTGAGAGAGTGAATATTGAATCTCGTCTGTCTCCCCTTCATCGAACACGGCTACCAAGACGGACCCTTGATCACCAAATTCGTACTTGTGCGCTTCTTGCAAAGCTAGGGTCCAAGTCAGCCCTGCGTCGTCCGAGACATAGAGATCGCCATCAGTATATTGACCCAGAAAGTCTCCGGTATTGCCAATTCCCATAACAATACCTGGAGCGGGGCTAGAAAACACTCTCCCACTGTTTGAGAGGTCGGTAACCGAGTGCAAATGAATCTCGTCGTCTCCAGCCTTGAGAGACTCGAACGTTCTCCCATCATCAAAGCTGATTTTCGACTTGATTTTCTTGCGTGCTCCCGTTGCCAGCTCGTCCGCATTGTCAACGACGTTGACCAGAACAATACCCTGAATATTGGCTACTTTCTCAAAGTCGACGTATCCATCCGGGCTGCGGTTGGTGTGATCAATGTTCTTTGTGAAATATGTTCCGTTGGAGTTGCTGGTGTATAGAGAACCAACGTAGGCTAGCCTCTGGGTCACCACGTCAACCTGAATACTATAGTTTGTTGACTCAAGAATGGTATAAGCGTCTTCCTCTATCTTTCCCTCTCCAAATTCAGCTCGATGCCATATCTCAGTATCATCCGTGACATAAAGGGCAAGTTCTCTAGAGTGATCAGATTTGGCGGCAGCTACTAGGTAGCCTTTGACGGATGCCATGTTCGCCATTCCAGAGACAGTCCGGCCAGATGACATTACAGGCTCCTTTTCGTCGCCGTCCTTGAAATAACTACTTTTGTCAACACGTGTACACAAGCTGCGCAGTGGCCAGACTCACTTATCAGACATCAGAAGCCTAAAATCTTTAGGCCTGTCGGAGTATTTACCCTTCGTTATGCACAGTATGCGGTTCTGGTGCTTGTCGCTTTCCAGGAGGAATCGATCCGAACTTCTAGCCCACATGCACATTTTGCGATCGCTGCGAAGGAGTTTCGGTTTTGACTTGAAGCCATCTTCTGTGTAGAACGTCTACCGACAGCATTAGTTTCAGGTTCGCGAATGATAGGGGATATTTATTCTGACCCTTCCAAGGCACGGTGCAGTTATGCAGTCCTCCAACGTGCTGAAGAGAATCTTCTTAGAATCGTCTCGGTGCCAACTAACAGGTGTCCCAGACCCGAACATAGACGGAGGAAACTCTGTGTCGAACTCATTCCAGCTCTCGCCCTGGTCGTATGTAATATAGTGTTTCGTTTGGCCAACGGCTATGGCAACCTTGTTGTTGAAGGGATTTTTAAGGATGCCGAGCGTCTGGATGTCCTTGTTCTGTTCCCATTTCTTCCCAGAGTCTTTAGACCGCCATATTCGACCAGTGTCGAATTCGAAGGACAGGATGACCTCGGAATCATCAAAATACAAGAGGCTAATGAGCTCGCGATCAAAAGGCGTGGTTTCGATGAGAGGTGCGTCCTTCTTGGCCGAGGCGAACGATGCCAATACCAGCAAGGCGGGCAGCAGTATGCCCTTAAGGTATCTCATGATGCATAGAGGGGAGGGGACGGGAGTAGGGGATGGAAGGGTGGACGATGGAGATGATGGTGTTGACAGCTGGCTGCTTCGTCGTCCACAGCCTCGAAGCTGAAGGCAACGGCCCCAAAGCAGTCTTGGCAGTCACGAAACAGCAGACGCGCCGCACCGCTACGCACCGTTTTTAGGGGCCCTTGCTGGTAGGAGAGAAGTGGCACTTTACGAACGTCCAGGCACAATAATAGAGCGCGAAAATGTTTCAAGACAAATTCAGGACAGCAAAAGTTATTTAGAAGCATGCGAGGGTTGAATTCACAAGGCCTACGATGTAAAGGGGTCGCAAAAGTTGCCATCAAGGTGCCTCATGGGCCCTCGCCCCGCTTAAACTGCCCGCGCCTTGTCGTCGCTTGATCTTAAAATAAACTAGACTTCATAACACACCAAACATTTCACCTTCACACCTTCATCCCGTCACAAAACAACTCTCTTTCGCTTCCGCTAAGAACAAGTCGCAAGAATGGAAAGCATAAGCATTCGCTGTGTTCACAAGTCACTGCCGCAAACACCTCATCGTATCTATAAAACGAAGCATTTATTCATCGCTATTCACACCATGTCTGAGCATAATCAAAACTGTGTTTAGTAGGATGAGGTGAAGGTATAAGATGACTAGATAGCTTTAGTTCTCTTGCGAATAGAAAGAGATTTTCTGCACGCGTTGTGTTAGAAAGGATATTAGATATATTGCTATACCTAAGACTTCTAACAATTCTCATGAATCGTTCCATCTCGGGTCGCCCAGAAGCTATCCGAAGGGTCCTCGTATCGGCCCCAACCCTGACTCGACCTGGCCCTAACTCTGCCCTGCCCCCTGCTGTTACCTCTATTCCCTATGTATTTATTTGCACCTCTCCCCTGTAGCTAGCTTAGTAGTTTTCTAATATCCTTTATATAAGGCCTATGGGTGTTAATAAAATTCCTAGGTTATTAAGTACCTACACACTTTTATATGCCTTTAAGTAAATTTCTACTACATTTAGACCTATTATCTTGCCTGTGCTATTACATTATATTAGAAAACTTACTTTTACTAGTAATAACCTTATTATAATATTATATTAATTATTTATTTAACTATGTCTAACTCTAAAAAGTGTTTAATTTAGTTTAAGTTATAATTTTTATATACTATTACATTAAATTATTTAGTTATTATAAATAAAAATTTAAAAAACTTTTATTTTTTTATAACGTACCTAACAGGTTGGCCGGCCACACAGGTTAGCCGGCTACTTTTGCTAAGCCCCTACTAAAACTACTCTATTCTCTCGCAAAACAGCCTACTTTAGCCCTATATAAAGTAATATAATATAAGATATTATTTAAAGTCTACTTTTACTACTTACTTATATATACATAAGTTATGCCTAGTTTAATTACACTACTTATATTACCTTTAACTTAGCTTACTTTTTTTAGTGCACACCTATGTCTTTAGCTTTCTTTTATTACTACACGCTCTAAACTTCTTTAAAGCAGTTAGATAAGCTTTATTCTTAACTATTAAAGTTTTTTTTACCTAAATCTGCTTTTTTTTATGTAATTTATGTTATGTAGTAGCTTTATTTACTACTTAAAGCTTTATAATTTTATAGCCTACTTTATTACATTAATGCTCTAGATAACTGTTATTTACTTTTTATTACTTTACTATATTACTTTTAGCTGTCTTTATCTTTTTAAAGCTATAATAACTGCTCTAGTTAATATCTAGCTTATTATAAAGCTTAACTTATTAAAGTTATACTTATCTTTATTTTAGATACTATACTTAGCTTTTATGTTAGCTACTAGGCAAAACTAGCCCTAGATAACTTTTAGATTCTTATAAAGTGCTTTTTTATAATTATACTTATAATTAAATTTTATTATAAACTTAAAGCAGTGCTTAACCTACATACTAGGCTAGTTTAAGCTAACCTAGCCTAGACTACACTTTGTAGGCAAGGAATTAGCTATATTAGCTATAGCTGTAAGCTAAAAGAGAAATCTGTGTGTAATAAGCTTAAGTATGTACTTAACAACAACTTTTTTTTAAGCTTAGTTAGATTCCTTAATTTAGGCTAGCATTCTGCTTATAAAGGCTGTCTAGCGCGTTAATTGCTTAGTGTTGTGTAAGAGACATTATAGATAGCTATAGCGTGTTATAAGAAAAGTTTTAAGTCTTATTTAAAAGCCTAAAGAGTAAGCTATATCTAACATTCTTTAGAAAATTTAATCTAGTGTTGTTGTTAAGGCATTATATAGATAGGTAGAGTTTAGTAGGGGCTTAGCAAAAGTAGCTAGCTAACCTGTGTAGCTGGCTAACCTGTTAGGTACGTTAATTAAAGTTACTTTTAGAAAAGTTATAAAAAGAATGCTAAAGTAAAAACTTAAAAACTACTAATAACTTATTAGAATTAAAACTAACTACTAATATCTAACTAACTACTTTTTAATTTTAGAATTAAAATACACTTTAGCTAAAGTAAGCTCTTTAAAGTTAATTAATAATTTATCTTAATAGCTAAACTTACTTTTATAGCACTTACAGCTATACTTTTACCTAACTTAAAGTTAACTTTTAGTAGTATATTTATTAATAATTAAATTACTTAATTATAAGTATAGCTTAAGTAGCTAATTTAGCTAAAAACTACTAGTTAACTTTTACTAACTGTCGCGTACAGCTATCCGTCTACATATATCCTTCTGCTGTGCTAGCTGGGAGGTTGACCTTTTAGCAAACGCAACAGTTATAAGCCTGGTTCGCGGCGTAGTGTAGATGGTTAGCGCTTAAAAATTTGCGCACCCCTGCTCCACTAATAGGATCGCATTATCCTAGAGCACTGCGTGTTCAATTCCCACGCCCAGCAAAGAGCATTTAGGCAGTGCGCCTATTACAGAGGCTACCTTGTATTTAGATCTGTCTCTAAGTTCTGTTGCTCAGGCTAAAGAGGAAGGGTGTGTTAAGGTTGTTTTAACATGTTTCACCTCTCTTGTTCCACAGTTTAAGCTGGGGGGTGTGTCGCGTACAGCTATCCGTCTACATATATCCTTCTGCTGTGCTAGCTGGGAGGTTGACCTTTTGGCAAACGCAACACTAACTACTAAATTACTTTTAATAACACTTTATACTACTCTTACTACTTTAAGTATAAGAGACTTTTAAGGCACTTTTTAAACTTAGTAAATTTACTTTACTAAATACACACTTAAAATTAAGATTTTTATAAATAGTAAAAAACTTATGTTTAAATAATAGTAAGCTTTTATTATAGATAAACTTAACATTAATTTAAATTACTATTAAAGTAAGCGCGCACACATATTGTTAATATAGAGACACATAGCTAGTTTTGCAAAGGATTATCTAGAGCTAGAATACCTAGCTAAATTAGACTAGTTTTAGTTTAAAAATATAGAGGATATAATAAAGCTTTTATAAGCTTATTTTATTACTAGTTAAAAAAAAGCAATAGTGTAATAGGTATTTTAAACTTTTAAAATAAATAAAAAAGGTGTTTTTTATATTTAAAGTACGCTTTATTAGTGCAGCTATTAAAAGAATAGTATTTTAGTTAGATTAGTTCTTTTACCTATAAAAAAAGCTTTCTTCTAGCCTATAAGTACTAAACTATAGTTTTAAACATACCTAGGTAAACTTCTTTAAAGCTATAGTAGCCTACTTAATAGTGTATAATCTAGAAAGAAGAACTTATAGAAAAGACATAGTTATTTTATTTAAATTATTTTTAATTAATAAATTACTTTTACTACTTTAATAATTAATAACTACACACATAGCATTTAGTTTAGAGAAGACTGCTAGCATTATAAAGAAATATTTTAGAGCAAGAACACTTAGTTAAATTAGACTAGTTTTAGTTTAAAGAACATAATAGTAATACTTTTTACACTAATAAGAACTATTAGTTTATAGAGAATAAGGTAGTGTAATAATTCTTATTTTATTTTAGGTTGCCTAGAACCTATCTAAAGGGTCTCTGTATTAGCTCTAACCCTAACTTAACCTAGCCCTAACTCTGCTCTACCCTCTGCTGTTACCTCTATTCCCCTATGCATTTAGTTGCACCTCTTCTCTGTAGCTAGGTTAGTAGTTTTCTAATATTCTTTGTACAAGACCTATAGGTGTTAATAGAATTCCTAGGTTATTAAGTACCCACGCACTCCTATATACCTTGAAGTGGATTCCTACCACATTCGGACCCATTGTCTTGCCTGTGCTGTTACACCTAGAACTTATCTAAAGGGTCCTTTTATTAGCTCTAACTCTAACTTAACCTAGCTCTGCCTCTGCCCTGCTGTTACAATCTACAATTAGGCTGTAAGCAACTAGTCAGCTGTGCCCCACTGTTTGAACGATCAAGGATGGAAAGTCCTTAATTCCCTGCCCAACAAGTCACGTGACCTGTCGGACGAGGAATGGACCAAGCTACTGGACTAGTGCGCGGCGGAATGCATCATCTAGTAAGAAGGCCCAGCGTGCATGCATTACATGCAGTGCGCGCAATAAAACAACAGGTTTAGAATTACGTGCAACTCTATGTATATAGTTTAAGATTCTAACTTTATTTAGAAGCTGTAATTAAAGTTTAGTTTATAATTTATATAGACTAAGTAGCATTAACGTACCTAACAGGTTGGCCGGCCACACAGGTTAGCTGGCTACTTTTGCCAAGCCCCTACTAAACTCTACCTATCTACATAATGCCTTAACAACAACACTAGATTAAATCTTCTAAAGAATGTTAAATATAGCTTACTCTTTAAGCTTTTAAATAAGACTTAAAACTTTTTTTATAATATGCTATAGCTATCTATAATATTTTTTACACAACACTAAGCAATTAACGCGCTAGACAGCCTTTATAAGCAGAATGCTAGCTTAAATTAAGAAATCTAACTAAGCTTAAAAAAAAGTAGTTATTAAGTATATACTTAAGCTTATTACACGCAGATTTTTCTTTAGGCTTATAGCTATAGCTAATATAGCTAATTCCTTGCCTATAGAGCGTAATCTAGGCTAGGTTAGCTTAAACTAGCCTAGTATGTAGGTTAAGCACTGCTCTAAGTTTATAATAAAGTTTAATTATAAGTATAATTATAAAAAAGTGCTTTATAAGAATCTAAAGGTTATCTAAAGCTAGTTTTACCTAGTAGCTAACATAAAAGCTAAGTATAGTATTTAAGATAAAAATAAGTATAACTTTAATAAGTTAGGCTTTATAATAAGCTAGATATTAACTAAAGTAGTTATTATAGCTTTAAAAAGATAAAGACAGCTAAAGGTAATATAGTAAAGTAATAAAAAGTAGACAATAGTTATTTAAAGCATTAATATAATAAAGTAAGCTATAAGATTATAGAGCTTTAAGTAGTAAATAAAGCTACTACATAATATAAATTACATAAAAAAAAGCAGATTTAGGCAGAAAAGACTTTAATAGTTAAGAATAAGGCTTATCTAACTGCTCTAAAGGAGTTTAGAGCGTGTAGTAATAGAAAGAAGCTAAAGACATAAGTGCGCGCTAAAGAAAGTAAGCTAAGTTAAAGGCAATATAAGCAGTGTAATTAGACTAGGCATAACTTACATACATGTAAGTAAGTAGTAGAAGTAGACTTTAAATAATATCTTATGTTATATTACTTTATATAGGGCTAAAGTAGGCTGTTTTGTAAGAGAATAGGGTGGTTTTAGTAGGGGCTTGGCAAAAGTAGCCGGCTAACCTGTTAGGTACGTTACTACTTTTTAATAAGAAGTAATCTTATTATATATCTTACACTATATATACCT